ACTAGGCAAATAAATAGTAATTTTAACAATATTAAAAAAAATTATAATATTGTTAACCAAATGTTAGGGAGAATGAACTTGTCTATTGATGCGGCTATACTAAAAGCGTTCGATGCACAGGGACTTACCTCCAAAACTATTGCAGATAACTTCGCAAATAGCTTTGACATGGCGGTAAAAAGTATAGTTCCTAATTGTAAAATAAAATTAATAAACCAAAACAATACATATAAAATCTTAGACTCCAGTATATTTTTTCGGAAAGCGACCCCCTGTAGTATTCATAAAATTATTAAAAATCTTAACTCAAGAAAGGCACCAGGTGCTGACAATATTGCGATTGCTGACATTAAAATGATAGGCGAACATATTTCCCCAACTATCTCTGACTTAATTAACAGTAGCATTAAAAGTGGTTTGTATCCTGATAAATTGAAAGAAGGCTGTGTCAGACCCGTACATAAGAAAGGAAAACGTGATGACTACTCGAACTATCGCCCAATTACATTACTTTCATCAATCGATAAAATTGTTGAAAAATTCATAAGCGATCAAATACACAAATTTTATAGGAATAATACTGTAATAAGCCCGTATCAGTTTGGTTTTCAATCAGGAAAAAGTACAACAGCACTCTTATCAAAATTTACCGATGAAGTGAATAGTCATCTAAATGAAAAAAGACAGGTGCTTGCCCTATTTATCGACTTCTCACGTGCTTTTGACACTTTGTTACATGAACAGCTAGTAGACAGATTAGAAAAATGTGGTATACGTGGCCCCTTACTTAATTGGTGCCATGATTTCTTGAAGAACCGAAAATCGTTTGTGAAAATTGAAAATAACTACAGCGAGCCGATGTTGATAACAGAGGGAATAGCACAAGGTTCGGTACTAGGACCCTTGCACTTTTTGTCCTACGTCAATGACATGGGCAACTACATCGTCAATTGCACATGCTACCAGTTTGCAGATGACACTTGTCTTGTAATCGGTGATAAAAATCCACAAAAAGGCATGTGACCTTTTGCAGTCTGACCTAGATATCCTATCAAGGTGGTGCCATGATGCTGGGCTTGTCCTTGATGATAGTAAAACTAAGTTGTTAGTAATTAAATCTCCATACCTAAAACCCGCTTCAATAAAAAAAAATAGTTGCACACAACCACATCTGCCTACATAATAACCACGCTGCTGAATGCTGCTGCCCAGCAATTGAGATAGTTGACACACAAACGTATCTCTGACTAGTTATTAACAGTAAATTAAATTGGAGCCAGCATATTGACCGTGTATGTACTAAACTAAGACAGTTTTTAGCAAATATCACTAGTCTCAATAATCGCATTCCTTTTAAAATAAAGTTAATGTTATATAATGCACTTGCGGAGTCGCACATTCAATACGGGCTAAGTAGCTACGGCCGAACTTACAAAACATATCTTGACCAGATCCATAGTTTACAAGTAAGAATACTCAATACTATAGTTCCAAATAAAATAAAAAATAAATTCAGGGATGACGTTAATGGTCTCTTTAAACATTGTAAAATTTTACCAATACATATACAAATACAAAATATTTTATTAAAAGAACAATTTTTTAATGAATCGCTAAAAATCCCGATTGAGCATTCTGTAAACACTCGAGCAATTTCTAAAAACCGTCTCAACGAGCCGCGTGCTAGCAATGCGTACGGTAAGAGAACATGTAGCTACTTAATACCTCGGCTTATCAATAACTTACCATCAGAATTAGTGGACAATATCACTAAAAATAACATTAGATGTAAACTAAGGGGTCACTTTCTTAAATTATTATAACGTATTTTGTCATTTTTTTTATTGTTTGCATATTTATTTCATGTTTTTTGTTTGTTTTTCCTTTTTATAGTATCTGCAATACAACATAACGCTATATTATTTTATAAAATTGTAATCTCTCGATAGCTTAAGTATAAACCTTAGTGGTTTTTTTAAATGCTATCACTACAAATATGTGTAATGCTTGTTCATATGATAAATAAATGAAAAAAAATTATCCACGGTGGTATTACCATAGTCAAAATATCCTCAAATCTAGATTCAAAATCTGAATAGAGGGTATTTAAATGTTGAACGTAAGTTGAAACGTCGTCTTACTGGCAGCTTGTCTGTAACAAATTGGGGAACTGAGAAAATACGCCCCGTCCAATATTTTGCTTCATTAGTTTAACTCTGACAAGAAACGCTGATAAGATAAACTTTGTTTTAATCAAATTTAAACTGTCGCCTTGTAATTGCAAATTAACCATATTAAATTTTGTAAACAAATCTGTTAAATAGGCGATGTCTGTTTTCCTCTTCATTAAATTTTCTTTTAAAATTTTATCTTTAGTATCCAGAAATTCCAAAATAGTCTCAAAAAGTGCAAAAAAATCTTGTCAAAGCCTTTCGACAGCCAGCGTACTTCAGTTTGAAGGAGTAATTGATGAAAGTGTTCGTCATTTTCTTCACACAACTGCGCAAGTAACCGCGTATTCAACGCGATGCTTCGGATTCGGTTTACTGCATCAATGACTAAATGAAGTGATTCATGCAATCTAACACTCAAATTTTTAGCAACTAAATGTTGTCGATGGATGATGCAATGTATTGCTAACACCCCTGACACATTTTGTTTTAAATAGCTTATAAATCCACGATAACCTCCAATCATGGCAGGTGCTCCATCTGTAGCTACTGATATTATATTTGATAAAGGAATTGCTTTTTCAATGAAGTAATCCTTCAAGACATGAAATATTGATTCACCTTTAGTGTCGGTTATCAAAGTTCTTGCGAAGAGCAGTTCTTCGTAGATTTCTTGATTCATAATAAAACGAACATATGCCAATAATAATGCTGCATTATCAGATAAAGTTGACTCGTCCTGTTGTATAAAGAAATGGGTCGTTTGCAAATAATTACATAAGAAGCTTTCAATATCAGAACTCATTTCATCAATACGTCTTTCAACAGTATTGTTGCTTAAGGGAATTCTTTTAATGATATCAGATGCAGGTTTGTGTAAAACAGTTTTTAAAACCTCTTCAACGGCTGGCAAAATTAACTTCTCTCCGATAATATGCGGTTTTCCGGATTTTACTATAAGTAACGAGATATTGTAATACACCCGCAAACCATCATCATTTCTTTGTGACGTCGAAGTGAACATTCTGTCCAGTGTAGGTCTCTTCTGAAGTTTATCTTTGAGTGTTTGAAACTATTTCAAATCTTTCTCTGTTGATCTTTCTCTGTTGATGATCTTGCAGTTTAGATGGTTTCATAGCGTCATTGCCCAAAACATTGTTGCATAAAAGGCACATAGGCAATTTTTTGTCCGGCAATGATGGAATGAAGCCAAATTTCAAATAATCGACACTGTACTGTCTACATTTCTTTTAAGATTCGGACATGGCATCAGTCATCTGTGGGTAAAATTAAATTATAATATATATAATAAGACAGAAAATCCAGCAGCTGTATATTAAAAATATTTTTTGATTTTTCCGAAAACATTCCATAATTCGAACATCTTCTTGCAACAATTAGCTCGAATTACGGAGATTGCACTGTAATTATAATACCGATTGCTAAAACTTTCAAAAATAAACTATTGAGGAGTACTCGTGTAATTTTGCATGATTGAATAGTTTACTTTAGTTATTAGTAGTTTAATACTAATAACTAAAGTCATGATTGGCGTAATTTATCTATCTTTGCTAACTACGAGTACAAAACTAAAATTTAATAAAAAATAATGTACTCACTTTTCTCCAGCACTCTCAAACAAAATAACACTGACTCACTATAATTTGTGTGATATACTATCTGTTTACATTTTTTAAAATATTTTCTTAGCACTTTCCTTTTCAAGATTCAGGAAACGAATAAACGTATTTGTCCCACATTCGTATTTATAGAGAGACGAATTGAACAAGTCAGTGCAAGGTAGCGAAGCTCTGAGACTGCGACTCTCAGGTTTTTACAAGTTCAAAATTTATTGCGACCACAAAGCGAATACCAACATCCAACAACTTACACAATTTTATAAACATATATAATAAATTTTTTACTTCATAGGTACTTTTATAAATAATGTATATGTTTTGATATTATAAGATAGTATGATGTAAGTAAATAGGTACTATCAGTGTATGTGTTGAGATCCACTATCGTGGACCCCATTTTCATTTCATGGACCCCCAAATTTTTTTTCGCTGACGTAGACCCCTTTCAGGTTGTCATAGACCCCTAGGGTCGATATAGACCACTTTGGGAATCACTGGTTTAACGTGACGACGTTATAACAAAACATTGATGAAATTATTCCATACTTTTATGAATAAAATTGAATTATTTTATTGAATTATCACTATTTTGTATGGATGGACAGAGAAGGAGTGAAATGAAATCTACATTGGCTCAAGCCGATCGTGCCTTTCGCTCGTTCGTGCCGCGCTCTCACTCCGATCGTGCTAGGTTTAGCTGGAGCATAACGGGACAATAAATCATCATTTTTCGTGTATGCAGTCGGCGTTCATCGGTTTATTAGACGTTGTCACGTCTAATAAAATAGTTAATGGACATATCGAACCGTTCAGTTCTGTAAGTGTAACATTTTTGTCAACTAACTTACCTGACTTTGTACATCTGGATTTATTTCACTATAGGGTGCATCAACATATTGCCCCACTTTTACAATGTTTTAAATGCTTTAAATTTAATCACTGAGCGAAAATTTGTAAATCAGTGCAATTGTATTCAATTTGTGCAGATGAACATCGGTACACTGAATGTAAGGAAAATGCGATAATTAAATGCATAAATTGTCGTGGCCCTCATGTCACAATTTCTAGAGATTTTCTTTTATTTGGACAATAAAAATTGATGAAAAATATATTAGGTCTATTTATGCTAACCTTACAAACAAAACAAACTCAATATTTATTTTACAATTATAACGCAAATTTCCCTTCAATGCATACAAAAGAAACAATGGATTCAAAAACAGTAGATCAATCACAACTTAAATCTACCAACGACCAAATTATGACATATGACAACATTTTGAAAGCAATTATTGGAGCATTGGTGGCCATGGGTAACTCGGGCTGTAAATTGACTACATCAAGTACAAAAAAATGCTTATTACTAGTGATCGGATAATCGGATGCATATTTATCTAAAGTTCATTTTTAGCACGGAAATTGTGGAAACGGCTTCTTAAAACATATTTATTAAAATATAAATCCCGGAATTCCAGAAAATACAGGAATACGAAAATAGTCTGTATCATGGCGAGGAAACGTCGTCTAATATTATGTAGTATTTATTAAAAAAAAAACAGGGGGGATACATAATTATTAATGTGTATTTACTTGAATTAATTTTAAGCTCCCCATCAATTTATGAGCATGCTGAGTGTAAGAGGAATAGTAGGTAGTATGTGTTAAATAAAAAAATTAAGAGGAAGTTATTATTTCTAGTTTTATATATATATATAAAAGTGCCGTGGGTGTCGTAAAAGGCGACAGAGGGAAACAGGCAGGAGATGGGCAGCAGCATCTACCTGATAACAGCAACTGTACAAAAAAAAAACTGCGGTTGCCAACCTAGCAACTATGGCAACCCATGAAAAATTACACAAATAGACAGCCCCCGAACCCGGCGGCCCCGCTATTCCTGGCTACAGTGGCGACCATGGTAATGGCGGGGCAGGGGGTGCTAAGAATCTCCGGTGGAGGTTCGGTTGCCACCTACGACGACTCGACCTGGCAACATTTAACACACATACCCTGAGGACTGATGAGAAGATTCTGGAACTGGAAGAAGAGATAGACAAGTTGCGCTGGAATATTATAGGATTATCCGAGGTCCAAAGAGAGGGGAGGACACGGTGATTCCCGAATCCGGCAACTTGCTCTATCACTGGGAGGGCGACCATCTGTCCCAAGAAAGTGTTGCATTTATCGTCCACAAGTCTCTCGTTAACAACGTTTTAAAGATTGAGATTGTATCGACGAGGGTTGCGTACCTTACACTTACATAGAATCACCAAACGGTATTCGCTGAAGGTCGTACAGGTTTACACGCCAACGTCGGAAAATCCCGATGAGGAGATGGAGGTAATGTATGAGGACATTTCTAGAACCATGCATTCTTCCAAAACTCACTATACGGTGTTAATGGGAGACTTCAACGCAAAACTGGGCACTAGAAAGAATGATGAGCTGAAGGTAGGGAAATTTGGGATAGGGCAACGGAACCCAAGGGGCCAGTAGCTGGCCAATTTCATGGAGAAAGAGCGACTTTTATGATGAATTCTTTCTTCCAAAAGCGGCCCCAAAGAAAGTGGACCTGGTCCTGCCCCGACAGTTTGACAAAAATGAGATTGACTTCATTATGACGTCCAGACGCCAACTGTTCAGTGATGTCTTAGTGATCGCAAGGGTGAAAACTGGCAGCGATCACCGAATGGTTAGAGGCACACTGAACCTAAACGTTAAGTTGGAGAGGTCTCGTCTAATGAAGTCAACGCTCCGTCCCCTTCGTGCTCTAATCCAGAATCCCGAAACCTTTCAGCTCGAGTTACGTAACCGCTTTCAGTGCCTAGAATCGTTTGAGCAGGAATTTGGGGGAGTAAGGTGTTTTATTGGTAGAGGTTTGGTCCCCTATTATAATAATACCACACACATTAAAAGGTAACGCACCGTTCTTGAGAACAATCAAAAATAAAATCTCATAGAACTAACCTCAAAATGATAGCTCAAAACGAATTAAGGGGTGGGAGGTGGTGGAGAGGGTGGTGGGGGAGTTGTAGAGTCTCTCCCCACTTTCACATCCTGCCGGACGTGCTTAGTATTTTTTATAAATTATTAAGAATCTAATTTTGAGGTTATGTTTTTGTAATGTTGTTCACTATAAACCTGATTTATGGGGGGAGAGAGTTGGGGGAGGGATGCACCATGTAGCACAGTCGAGGGACGCCCGGTCGACGGAGCCCCGCTTCGCGCGGCTCCTACTCCTGAGTGGTTTACAAAAAACCACCGCGAAGGGAATGGCGGCGCCATCCCCTTCTAACCCAACCTGTCCGAGTCGGGATGCCCTATGTCCCGAGCCAAAACACCAAAATATTAGCTTTTATAATTACACAGCAACAAGAGCCGCAGGCTCGCACAGGTGCCTGCGATTTGCTACGACGGGCGGGGGCTGCTCTCCCTTCTCGTCTACGGCTTTACAAAAACACTTTATACGTGGTAGAGCCATGCTGCAGTTATATTAGTAGTATAGTTGTAGCACGAATGGGTCGGCTCGACTGGGGAAGGACCACGCTCTCACAGAATGCCAGCGTGAAATAGTAGCCTAATGCTGCTGTATTTCATATGGTGAGTGTAGAGAACTGGAGACCCTTTTCACTGGAAACTAGGCATTCCATCTTAGTCCTCACGGATGACAACGCATCTGCATTTTGTAATCTAGGATACATGTAGATGTCTATGGGCCGCAGCAACCACTTACCATCAGATGGACTGTGTGCTAGTTTGTCACCCTATCCTATAAAAGAAAGGAGTAGGGCAGACAAGACTACGTGGATTCCAGAACCGTAAAGTCAGTTAATAATAAAAAATATATCATTTTCTATAATTCATACCTGACACATTTTAGGTTATAAATTATAATAGTTTTTATTTATTTTTTCCATAACGGTGCACCTGCTAATGTGAGTGGTATTATTATAATCGGGGACCAAACCTCTACCAAATAAAATACCTTACTCCCCCAAATTCCTGCCAAACGGTTCATCATCCAACGCGATGTTTCTGTATTTCAAGAAGCAGTCAATTCTCTGTCTTGTCTGAATGGATATGTTAAGATTTCTAGCTAATAATGATTATTATACAATTTTTACATGTGGATCAATATCTGAAGAGTTAACAACTTCAGCATTTTGTGATTCGCAAAAGAAAATATTTAAAACTTTTGAAATTCTTAATTTATGCTCCATTTTTACAGCTGAATGTTATGCAATCTACTTAGCTATATTGTACATGCAAAATATTGTGAATTTACAGTTTCTAATTGTAACTGATTCAAAAAGTGTTATATTAGCTATTGAAACTAAAAAAATTGATTATAAGAAAAATTACATTATATAAAAGAAACAAAATAATAATCTTACTAAACAAGCTTAATATAGTAAAGAAGAATACATTGAAGTAATATGTATACTTACGTACTAGAACAGCTATCTCTGGCTCTTGTGTTCGCGCGGTTGATTTTTTTATCATAGAATAAACATAAGTAGAATGATCCGTAGGTAATAGTAGATTGTATTGTTAAATAGGTAAATTATATCGAGAACAATATTTAAATTTTCTCATTTATTTTGTATATTATATTTGCTTATTTAATATTGTTACGAAATTAGGGTTCGTTACAATAAAAACTGTCGATTGAATTACCAAAATTTACACTTTTATTACTGAACACCAATTAAAACTTAAAAGACACTAATAATTTATCACACTGATTCACTTTAATTCGCTCCGAAGCTTTGCTTGTATCGCCAAATTCAATACTGTCCCGATCACGGCTTTCAACGGCTTTAAATAGGGCTCTTCCACCGAAACATTCAGAATAATCCAGCAAATACGGGCCCCGACCGACCAGGCGCAGAAAGCTCGAGTGTGGCGCTTTCTAGAAAGCTTAGTTCCTCCGTTCAATAATAGATCGCGCTAGTGCCATCAACTGTGGCGCGCAACAATATAATATTACGTAATGATATATCAAAATTACATTTTAATGATATTTTTATCTGAATATTTTAAAAGGTATCCTGTATGTCAAATATAAAAAACATACTAAATTTATGTTTAACATAACTTATTAACATAACATTTAAATTACAAATATATTTATTTAAATTAGAGTAAGAGTTGGTCATAAATGCTGGCCACGCGAGAGTTAAAAATAGACGAATTTATTCCACTTTGACTTTGAAGTGGAAACCTAAAAATAAAATAAAAGAATAATAAGCAGATTTAAACATGAAAAATTTAGCCTAATTATAATAACTTATACATTTTTCTAAAAAAAAAAAACGTATATCATCATATAATCGTCCTTTACTTAAGTACCCACAGAAATATCACATCTGAATATATTAATTTCATAATCTATATTCCATGACACGAGATGGCGTCTTAGGAATAATTTGTTTTATTATTGATTCATAATACTTTTTATTGAATAAGTATCTTATTAACCGATGAAAAGTAATTCCTTGGTTTTTACTGACGTTTCTCGAATTATTTGTGCAATATCTAAGCACACACGACGGCACATTTTTATCAAGAGTTTTTTTTTAATCAACACAACACGCGACAACTCTACAAGCGCCTAGCGAGTGCCTGCACAGAACACTAATACCCTCAGGCGGGTGAAGGCGGGTGAGTGACTGACTGACTAAAGTGCGGCGTATGCACTGCAGTTGAGTACTATGATGAGTTTAGTGATTGAGTGATATGATACTACTATGTAAATAATAGCTCAATGGAAGAATGTTACCCTTATGTATGACGAGGAAGCAGACTTTGCTACTAGAGATGTCTCCTCATCATCGTGTTCAGATCACTCCTCAATGCTGGAAATACCATTTATAGATATATATGCCTTGTTAAGCAAGAACTTGAAATCCTTGTGAAAGTCATATCGGGAAGAACTTAGGTAAGTCCAAAGGTACTTGGTATCATGAAATATAAAAAAGTCCGCCAGTCGCCCCTTGATACAACAAAAAAGAGATTAATACCACAAAATTCATTACGACTGTAAATCGAATGAGATTTGGACATAGCAGAGTAGCCGCCCACCTGCATCATCTGGGAATGAAAGAAAATGCAAATTGTGAATATTGTGGTAACATGAATGGAGACCTAAAACATCTGGTTGTTCAATGTTGTAAATTTGGTTTGAATAGATTTCTCGTCATTGATTACATTTAAGATATTAACAATGATAAAGTTCCTGATGTTCTTTAAAGTCTATTAGCTGATGAAAAATTCTTCCGACCCATATATTATTCCCTTACTTATTGTGTTCAAGATATATAAAAATTAAATCGTGATATTAATCTATAGTGCAAACGTGAATAAGCACTTTCTGATTAGTGAATCAGTGTAAAAGTGAATTTTTGGTGAATGTTTCGTACGTAATATATCTAATTTTTAAAGATTTAATTATCTTTAAAAATTAGATATATCATTATATTTAAAGATATTGTGACTTCAGAAGAGCTAGAACCCAGAGCCGTAAATACAGATAATACCCGAGACAGCTGTTAATTGACAGCTGACAATTTTATTTATGTACACACTAGCCATATGTAATAAATGGGTGCGTTTGGCAGAAAAAAGCGCTAGCAAGCGCTTACAAGCGCTGAAATAGTTTTCGGCCAGGACACGATTGCTAACTTCAGTAGCGCTGACACAATCCGCCATTTTGCTTATTTATTTTGTTTGTTTTGAAGTAGAGTTTATAAGTTGTTTTGTGCAATATTAGTTTTAAGTAAAATAATGACATGAATAAACATATACATGTTATTAAAAATTCATGATTGGTAAGTTTTTAATATGAATACAAACATATATTTAAATTAAGTTAGGTTCCCCGGTTAAAACTAAATTCGTGTCCTAGAGGAAAATAGCTACTTACGATTTGATAGCGCTTACTACTTACGATCGCCATTTTTCTTATAAGCGCTTGCTAGCGCTTTTTTCTGCCAAACGCACCCAATATGTAGCAAGCTACACACACTAGCTCACGGGTCTCGGGTCTCGGCCATATAACCATATTTATTTATCTATGGTCTCGGCTAGAGAGTACTATATTCTTTGCACACTAAGATTTTTTTGAATTTTACGATCAATACGATAAACATAAGTAAAAATCACTTAATACTAGCACTAACAAATAACGATTGTATATTAAAAATATAATGTTACTGAAAAGAAATTTACTTGAATATTTGACTTTAATATCGTGTAGTGGTTCCGTAATTTGTGTTTTTCTCAACTATGTGACTAACATATCTCCTATTACTGGAATTTGGTTTCATTTGTATTTACTTACACTTTTTGTACTATCAGTGCTCTTTAGTTTTAAATTTATCCAATGGCTTTTGCGTTTGAACAAACCGATTAAGTACGATATTGATGGCCTTACAAAGAAATATCCATCTTTGTCATTTTTGTGTGCAGTATTACCTCACTCCGAAAGAAAAGTTCGCAAAGAATCAAAAGAATATGATACGAATGAGCTTAGTATTATATCTACGGTATTGGAGAGAAAATTAGTGTCATCATGGTACATGACATACATTTCGCAGGAAATAGGCTTTCCTTTTGCGTGTAAACAAATGTTGGATCAAATGATTAGCAAGACATTCCAGGTTTAGTTGCTTATTTGTTCAAACTTATTGTTAAAAGTAACTATTAGGCTTACATGTTACAAATGTGTGGATAAGAAATTGAATAGTATTATGTGTATCTACAGTAAATTACTCTTAGTTACATCAAAGAATATCTACAACCCTATATTGTCCTGTGGGTGTCGTAAGTGGCGACAGATGGAAACAATTCAGATGGGCAGCAGCCTCTTCCTAATAACACCCAAAAATAAAAAAAACTGCAGTTGCCAACCCCCTTGCTAAGTGGTGACTATGGCAAATAAACCCCACTCCCCCAATAAAGCAATCTATGGAGGAGGCCTTTGTTCAGCAGTGAACTTAATGGGCTGTAAAGTCACGGTGGAGCTTTGAATAAAACTAAATTTACAGATTTTATCGCGTTTATTTAACTGATTTTACTTATTTTTAATTCCCGACGTTTTGGGTGCTTTAAAGCATCCATGGTCATGGGGGGACTAAATGTTTGACGTCCCAATGTTAGCCCGGCTACCTTCAGTTTTTTTATATTAATTTTTTTGGTCCGATTTACGCAAAACGAGCTTACAGTATATTGAAGTCTAGCAGTGGTATGCTTGGGTTTGGGTTTACCATCTACTTGGGATCCTACAATTAACAAAATTAAACCCAAACCCAAGCATACCAATGCAAAACTTCAATATACTGTAAGCTCATTTTGTGTAAATCGGACCGAAAGAATTATATTAAAAAACTGAAGGTAGCCGGGCTAACATTGGGACGTCAAACATTTAACCCCCCGTGACCATGGGTGCTTTAAAGCACCCAAAACGTCGGGAATTAAAAATAAGTAAAATCAGTTAAATAAACGCGATAAAATCCGGAAATTTAGTTTTATTCAACGTGTAGTGTTCGTGTAAATTTAAGAAATCGTCATGGTGAAGCTATTAAAATACAACTCTCAGTGTTGTATATTGTAATAAAAAACATTTAAAATAGTTGTTGGTTTCTATTTTTAAAATCATTTGTTTATTTCATTGTGCAACATACGTAGATTAAAAGTACTATTACCTTTATGTGCATTGCAGCAAATTTTAAGTCAAACTAGCACCTGAAAGAATCTATGCAAATTCTCGACATTACCAACAGTCTCATGGAGTGAACTTTATGATGTCAATTTACTCAATACCTAAGCTGATGACTGCAGGAAGCCATTTCTCTAAGTTGATCCAAATAACATGTTGATATTGTACAATTATTGATATAGCCCAGGGGATCAATAACTGAAGTGGCAATAAGCTGGCCATATAGGTCTAAGAACCTACAATCTATGGAGAAAAAAGGTTTTCAAATAGCAGCCTCATTCTGGTAAGCAAAATGTAGGGCAGCTATCCACAATTTGGAGAAGACCCGGTAAGACATCCAAGAAGTTGATGGGTGCAGATAGCTTAGGACCATGTTTTGTGGCATTCCTTGGGATGGCATATGTTCATCAGTGGATTTGTGAAAGGTTGTAATAATGTTTTTTTTTATAGGATAGAGTGACAAACGAGCACACAGTCCACCTGATGGTAAGTGGTTGCTGCGGCCCATAGACATCTACATCTATCCTCGATTACAGATCAAAATGCAGATGCTTTGTCACCCATGAGGACTAAGATGGAATGCCTCCTTTCCAGTAAAAAGGGACTCCGGTTCTCTACACTAACCATACAAAACACAGCAGCATTAAGCTACTATTTTACCCTGGTATTCTGTGAGAGTGTGGTCCTTCCCCGGTCGAGCCGACTCATTCATGCTACAACTATACTACTAATATAACTGCAGCATGGCTTTACCACGTATGAAATGATGATGATGATGACAGAACAATTTATTTTATGTATACTACTGACATTACTTTTTGTTACAGATATGTGATAAAATAGACACTAAAGATCTTTACATTGACATGTGCTCAGTGCTTACAAGTCATTTGAAGGAATACTCCAAAGCTATAAAAAGGCATGAAGAGTCACCTTCAAGTACAGTAGATTCTTTATATAAGAAATCTCATGCAATATCCACAGATAAAAAATATCTATCTGGTGATCATTGCATAAATTTATTGAGAATTATTCTTAAAGAACTTATACCCTGGGAATTGTGGGATACACCACATTCAGAATTGCTGATAAGGGTATTGTCTAAGAAGTTAGATACTTTCATAGACAGCACCTTAGCAGATCCTGTCTGGTTGAATGATAAACTTCTTACATTAATAAAAGGAAAGAAGGAAGATAAGGAGCCAGATTCTCTGGACCAAAACTCTGAAAAAGACATAGAATTAGAAAAAGTTGCACCAGAACAATTTACTGTTGAGGCTCAAAAGCCTAACTTCTCAAATGAGGAAGCTTCTTTTTCTACACTTATCACAGATAACACACCAATTGTCGAGCATGTTGACAAAGTAATCAAAGAAGAAATTTCAGAAAAGCTGGAGAATATAGTTGAAGAGGTGCCTGTGCAGTGTACAGAGCCAGTGGATATAAAATCATCGCCAATTATGAGGCAGAGAAGGGGAAGGCAAGGAAGAAATGAAGTCAAAATATATGATAGAGTAATTGAAGGTAATGTTTTTCTGACTTAAAGATTAAAAATTAATAATTTTACGTGAGGGGTGAGTAAAAAGTGAGGATTAGGATGAGGAATGTATGTAGTTTTCCACACACAGCAAGTATATAATTATGTTGTCCAAACTTGCTAGGCTCCTTTGTTCATGTTTGTCGTCACTTTCCAAAGTAAAGTTTACTTTTGCACTCCCAAAATAACTAACTCTCTGATCCCCAGCACATGCTTTTAAACTCGATAAGAGGAATATAGAACTAACTAAGTCAATCCAGGTCATTCCACTCTTTTACTAGAAGATACTGGAACACTCGCGATCACATAAGGATAACAATATATGCATAGGAGAAAGGCTATATATTCGTAGACATAAGGTTTTGTTTAGCTTGCATCAATAGTTTGAGTGATATCTTCTTTGTGCCTACACATTTTATTACCTGACAGTAATGGTGGTTAATATAGCGCATAGTGCCATATTGCTATCTCTCCATAACACATAGCACGTGCTATGTAAGTAGTTAGCATGACGCTATAACGTTATGGCGCTATTAAGTACCTTATTAATATCTAGCGGCAACTAGTTCTAGCAGCAGCGCTGTTGAGAGAGGACGTGTGACGCAAAGATCTAGTAGCACGCTATTCATCGCGGGCGACCTAATTTAGTGTTAGACGTTGTTTCGTTAGTGTATACTGTATATTTGTAAGTGATTGAAGGACATAGTTGTCTGCTATAAAAGAAGCCTAACTAAGGTTTTTAAATGTAAATAAAATATAGATACAAAAATGTATATAATAGTGTATGTAAATAGTTGATTTTCATAAATATAATCAATTCACTTTTAAATACACTGTTATTTGATTTATAATTTATAATAAGGTTAAAATAATGGTTACATCAATTATAATAAAAAATAATTTATTTTATTTCGTTTTAAAAAGTATATGCTTTAAACATATTATATAATATCAATGTAGTCAAAGTCAATTAAATATGCGTTATTAAGGATAACTCAACTACTGGTCATTGGATCTATATACTGGATCTTGATCAAATTTATATGAGACCACATATGAAGCAACAGCTTTCAAATAAAAAATCTAGAAAAAGTTCTAGGGTACACACATAAAAAAAACAGTTGATTGAGATTGAGAAACTCCTCCTTTTTCGAAGTTGGTTGAAAAGATGTTATACTTGACGGCATGAGGGCGGCGCCATCGTACGTCGGTACAGTAAATTATAAAGAACACGTGCACCGATCGCGTCGCTCAGTTTCCCCCACCGCCCCACTACTCGGCTTGTTTTGCAACAACGGGTATAAAACGACCGCGCAGCGGCGGAGCAGGCTCTCTCTCGGACCCCCCAACAAGCTTTCGGCTGACCTGAACCGTCTCCTGGCGGCTCAGGCCGAGCTTACGTAACATATCCCTTAATCTGCCTTAGTTAGGCACACTTCTAAGCGGCTTTTCGCCGCTTGCGCCCTCCTTTCTGCCAAGGAGAGTCGCGTCGTGTAGTTAGACTGTTAAGCCAGTCCCTAAAAGGTGGGGTTTAGTGGGTAAAAGTCTCCACATAAGCACGCAACCGGCTGCGTGGTATGCTATGAGCATTCCCCACCTCCCTCCCCCGCTTTCCGGAGGGTTGCCCATATTTGCTTCGGGCGCAAAAAAAAAGCAGAGCAGGCAGTCATGGCTATGGCATGGCACGGTTCACTTGTTGTATCCCGCTACTAGCACATCCTACACAATTCGGATAATTAATTCGTGGAGACGAATTAATTATTATTATCAGCTATTAAATTAGTCTCAGTACAATTTATAGTTGATTAACTGTGATCCATGTATTTTGTGATAGTAAATTAATTCTATTTAACTACCTTCCTACATAATTGTTACACTGTTTTAAAACAATTTTTTTTCTGAATTGTGGAGTGGTTTACATTGTTGTCCACTACACAAGCAGTTTCAAGTAATTTTATGAAGCTGTGAATTTCTAATAATTAATAAGGAGTGTATGTTATTAAGGCATACATTAAATTGTTTAACTTACGAGTTAAGAACCTTAACATATTATTATGAATGAAAACATAAATAGTTATAATTAATGTTTTTAAATTTGCTTTGGAATAGTGTGACAGACACTACATCTTTTACTGTTACAGCATATGAAAAGCCGTCTTTGGAACATAGGCCTCCCCCATAGATTGTCTCTAGCTGCCATGCTTGGCATGTGGGTTGGTGCAGTGCTTTTTTTATTGTTCTTGGAAAGATGCTGCTGCCCATCATGATTTTTATGTCTGTCACTTCTTGCAACACCCGCAAGATGAGGTAGGGTTGTAATATTCTTGCACCGTCACTGTCAGACTGGTGATCTCATAATGCTAAGAGCACAGTCCTGCTATTATTGTCATTTATTTTTTTATTTACAGGTAGTATGAAGACATGGGAAACAGATATGGACTTACAATGCATAAGCCTTGGTCAAGATTTGCTTGCAAACTTAGATGGCGAAATCACTCTGAGCCGATTGTGGGGACAAGATATTGAACCTGACAGTAGTCCTAACCCTCCGAGGACTAAGTCACCACAGCCGCTATGGTTTGGTAAGTTTTATTGAAACTATAAATGAGATGTGAAGATAATCATTTCATCATCATCATCATCATCATCATTACAGCCCTTCACAAGTCCACTGCTGAACATAGGCCTCCCCGAAGTAATAGTAAGGCCGCAAAGCACGGTCCTGAGCCACCTGCATGCATCAACTTCCTGTATGTCTTACCAGGTCGTCATTCCATTTAGTGGGGGGTCGCCCTATACTACGCCTACCGGTACGAGGCTGCCACTCGAGACCCTTTCTTCCCCATCGGTTATCGGTTCTTCGAGCTATATGGCCGGCCCATTGCAAATTCAGATTACTAATCCGTTGGGCTATGTCGGTCACTCTGGTTCTACTGCAGATATACTCATTTCTGTGTTTATTATGCAGAGAAACCCCGAGCATAGCCCTCTCTATAGCTCGCTGAGCGAACTTGAGCGTCCTCATACGGTCAGTAGTGAAGGACCACATCTCAGATCCGTAAGTCATTACTGGTAACATGCACTGGTTGTACAATCTAGTTTTCAGAATTTGAGGTATACCTGACGAAAACATGTGTCGTAATTTCCCGAACGCTACCCAATCATTTAGTGACAGTTAAATGTTGTATGTGTAAAATATTTTTTGTAGACAAATGAGCATATAGTCCACCTGGTCGTAAGTCGATGCTTAGGCCCATAGACATCTACATCTATCAATGTTTTTTACATGGTATAGCCACGCTGCAGATATATTATGGTTGCAGCATGAATGCGTCGGCCCAACCTGGGTAGAATCACACTTTTATAGAATGCCAGTGTAAAATAGTAGCTTAATGCTGCTGTGTTTTGTATGGTGAATGTCAAGAACTGGAGACCCTTTTTACCGGAAACATGGCATTCAATCTTAGTCCTCAAGGTGATAACGCACCTGTATTTTGATTCTTAATTGAGGATAAGTTTCTATGGGCTACAATACTCACTTACTATCAGGTGGACTGTGTCGAGTACACACCCAATTCTATAAAAAAAAATCGTCGATTTTTACTTTGTAAAAATCTATGTTTAGAATGACAGAAAACTACTAACAAAATATTTGAAAACCAAATTATACATATATAACTACTATGGGAGAAGTCGCCACGTCCGCTGCGCTCTTTTTTCTGCCCAGGAGGGTCGCGTCCATTTACGGCTTAAAGATCTCTCGTCAGATCGTTAAGCCAATCCCAAAAGGTGGTGTTTAGTGGGTAAAAGTCTCCACATAACCACGCAGCCGGCTGTGTGGTATGTTATGAGCATTCACCACCTCCCTCCCCCGTTACCGGAGGATTGCCCTCATTTGCTTCGGGCGCAAAAAAAATTCGCCACGTCCAGCAGTGGTCTGTTTGTGATTGGGGGAGTTAAAAAAATTACGTACTAAAATAAGAGAGAAAAAATTAACTTGTGAATAATTAAATTGAACCATCTTTTTTATTTTTATGTGGCCTTTGATTCAACAATTCTGGTATATTTGGTCTTTGGATTGTATGTCATGACTTTTCTTGAGGCGTCTTGGTGAAAAAAGAGTTTGCGTTGATTATTTGAGTTGATTTTTTATAGAATATATTTGAATGGAGATTTTTAAATTATATATTTTTTTAAGTTTATATATAAGTTACACTAACAATAACTACATTAACCACAATAATAAATTTAAAAAAAAACCTTTTATACGAACTTTTCTTAACAAAGTTATTTTCCAAGTTTGTCAACTAACTGATTAACATGTTAAATAAGATACTTATTTATGGACAGTCAAAATGTGTAAATTGGATGTACACAACAGTTTATATTCACTTTTACGTAACATAAATACCTATTATATACAAAGTTTTGACCTGGAATACAAACCAAAAACGTTGGTAAACATATTTATGTATATATTTTACTCAAAAAAATAAATAATTTATAAATTTGTTTTTTATCTACAAGGCGAAGAAGATGCGATAGAATTGGATTGCGGCGACACCAGCCCCCAAAAGCCCAGCCCTGTCAAAAAGGAGAACGTTCCCAAATCCACGGACATACTCCTCAAGGACATTCAGAGCACTGTCCACCAGGCCAAAAGCAAGATTGGAGACCTACAGGTCCCGTTCACAAACCTAGATGTGCCCTGCAAGCATTCCAGTGTATGTCTCTTCTGCACGGTCTATCAGCTTTCTGTTTGCTTTTATTGTCAAGGTTATTAGTGAATGGGAACGATAGATTTACCTATAGTTTATTCTTCCTCTATGAAATGTGTACAACTTACATAAAAAAAACTTTAGGAGCTTTTTCTAGGTTGAAGAATTTGAAGGGGTTCCAATGGTGCTTGCTGTCACTAGTCCGTGGATTTTATTCCCATCATCCAAGAGTCGATTGCTGGACATTCAGCCTTTCCCCACAGATGGAAAAAAAATTTTAATTTGTTCCGCTTGCTTCGATCCCAGTGCCAGATGTTTACAACGAATATATTTAATATTAAGTCCTTATCTATGTAATTGCCGTTATATATATAAAAATACAAAGTATTTTTTTTATTTTATATTAAGTAAAATAATTGTATTAATAATTGTCGGCCATTATTGTCCATTTTCCCTTGTTAAAATTAATCAAATTTAAAAAAGGAAAGTATTGACTTTCCTTTTTCCCCATTGGGGAGCCAGGTCTTTCCTTTGTTATGGCAATTTTATAGGTAAAGACGAAAATGTCCATTACATTTAGTTATGCATAATGTGGAATCGCTATTGTTTTTGTTTTAATTAACCCCATTATAGAACTATAGGCATAAAGGAGACATTTGTTTTTGGGCCCACTGAAATTTTAACGTAACTTAATGGTATTACACAATAAAAAGAGATACCAATTTATAATAGTAAACAGAACATGCGTGTAACGAAGCATTTTGCAGTTGGTATAATAAAAAGATAAATATTTTTAAAAACGATAACTTATTATGTACATAATATATTATATATTTATTACTAAAAAGAGATACCAATAAAAACTTGTTTTTAATCTTATTTCTAAAAGCTAGTATCATATAATATGATTCAAAGTGACCGTGGAACGAAACATATCAATACCCCTATTTTGTCATTGACTTCCGAGTACAGGTACTATACGGCATTGACGTTCGTCACGTTGCTACGTTTTTGTATATCTTTACTCATTATCTTCATCTTATAGCGGTGTATAGGTAATATTTTAAATGGACATATTATTCCTTAGTCATCATCTTGACTTTAATCATTTTTATTTAATTGCTGTAATGGTGTTTGGGATTAATATTCACTAATCAAATAAAAAATAGTTTCCACACCACGTTTGTTTGTCTGTGCACTATGTTTTTCCGGAATTACAACTACTTATACTAAAAGAATTTTCCATCAATCTTAAAGTATGTATAAATGCTGAATTACCTACAACTTTGTTTTAGACTATTAATAATTGACCAGTGTAATATTTTAACTTATAATACCCATTGAGTTATACAACACTAGAGGAGCAAACCACATTACCGCGAATCGAAAAAAGTGTAACCACTATCCAAACGCGACGACGTAGCTTTGAAACTAATAACAATTTTAAGTAAACATATATCTATCTCACTTACACAAGTTACGAAAACAATATCGTCGCTAAGATTAGATAAAGATAGACACACAAACATGCAATGGCGGGTTGGTGTGGCTTACTATATGAAATTTTACCTAAAATACGCAATAAAAATGAGTTTTTTTTAAGCTGCAGTTAAATGTTTTTATACGAGTATTAAAAAAGTATATTTCATTTTAAAATCTTTATTACGTCCCCTTAGAAAAAAAAAGGATACAAAGCTTATCAGATGAATATAAGTAAACATAATGATGAAATAAAACGTATTTTTATGGTACTAATAAATCAAACAATATAAAATAGGTAATAAAATATATTTAATATATAATTCATGAATAAACTAAAATAAGAATAATTAATTATATTGTATGAAAGTTAAAACGTAGTTTTTATTATAATTTCCAAAATATTTAAAATCAGAGGTAACAAATTAACTTAATCCATTAATTATAGTGTCTCCCATTAATGTAGTATAATCACAAATGCGGAAAAGTGGCAACATTGAACCTAAATGGCAATATTCGATAATTTTATTTAATTATTTGAGGTTTTTTATGTTTATATGAAAACAAGAACTAAAAATTATGTGTTGAAAGTGATTCCGCTTGTTTTATTACGTTTTTGTGACCTTGAATAGCATTCTTTCACTACGCATTTACCCATTTTTGTCGCGGCTCAACTCTGTCGGCGTCACATTGAACAATGAACTCACGTTAGCTAGACATATGGCTGTGGCCATATGTGCAGTGGCAACGCTTTGGCGCGGTTATTACTGATCTAGTGTTATATAAATCAATGATAATACCGGTGAAAACTACTAGTCAATCGCTTTTAGTTTGTTTTTAGGTTATTGTGATATTCATATTTAATTGTTAATGTCTCAGTATTCCCGTTAGATGCGGTAAAACTAATATCGCTATTGTAATCTATAGACTGTAAGGAATAAATCGACATGCATTTCATTAAGTTACGCCACAATTCGTGGTGGGCCCATTCTACATACAAAAAGAAATTGTCTCCTTTTCTATGTTTCTAATCAGAAAACTAGAAAGAACAGAATATTCCCTAACTTTTGCATGGTGCCTTTCTGTTTAGAGTGTTATGAATCTTTTAAGTGAATATTGCATGTTTTGTTAATATTATGGGTTAGTACTTATTTATAAATAATCAAACCTCAAACTGTGTGAAGAAAATCCAGAGGAATCGTCCTCTCATTGATTTTAGCTTTTGAGTACTCTTGGGTACTCTTTTGCTTGTAAACCTCGAGGAGGACGATGTCTTGGATGTGGTCCCGAGACATTGTGATAGCACTGTGACTTTGAGACACTAGAGGTCGAGACTCGATTACAAGAATGCACACTAACTAATATGAAAAATTTTGAGTAACGATTAAACTAAATAATCTATATAGGTGTAGTTATATTTTATACGCTGTAGCTATATTATCGTCGTAGCACGAATGGGTCGGCTCGGTAGGAGCATGCTCTCACGGAATACTAGCGTAAAATAGCAGTTCAGTGCTACTGAGTTTCGTATGGTGAGTGTAGAGAATCGGAGACGCTTTATTACTGGATACGAGGCATTTCCATCTTAGTCTTCAAACGTCACCACGCGTCAGCATTTTGACTTGTAATGTAAATGTTTATGCGCCACAGTGTCCATTAGATGGATTATGTGCTCATTTGTCACACTTATTCTATAAAAAAAATAGAATGTATAAGTAGTGAAAGCAAATTCTACTGTGTCACCAACAACTATTTCCCTTGATTTTTTCTTATTTGTTATAATTTTGTCTTTATTTTCAATCTACCGTAATACTGTTTATTTTTACCATTATTGTTACATAAATTGCTAATTTAGGACGAGGCAGCTGGCATGATGGAAGGCTTATTGGATTTCGGAATCGCTGGCATTAAAAAAGGACTTCGCTTCACTGGCCTCAGCGACGATTCACAAGTAAGTACAATTACATGTGTGGCAGAGGCATCCTGCAGTTATATTAGTAGTATAGTTGTAGCACGAATAGGTCGGCTCGACCGGGGAAGGACCACGCTCTCACAGAATACCAGCGTAAAACAGCAGCTTAACCCTGCTATGTTTCATATGCTGAGTGTAGAAAACCGGAGACCCTTTTTACTGGAAACAAGGCATTCCATTTTAGTCCTCACGGGTGACAACGCATCTGCATTTTGATTTGTAATTGAGGATATATGTAGATGTCTGTGGGCCACAGCAACCACTTACCGTCAGGTGGACTGTGTGCTCGTTTGTCACCTTATACAATATGAAACGTAATTAACGTATACCCTCAGACACCTCAATTAGTATATTATGTTATAATAATCATAATACATACACTGAATTTTATAGTTATACTAATTCCGGAAGAACGCAAAGACTTTAACGTGCTTGAAATAAAATTCATTTTTGTTTATTTTTTGAATGACGGAATTAGTAATAATACAAATAAAACTGCACTCTTAAAAGTCCTATTGCCTTAAGTTAAGGTGCATTTCAGTTTTTTTTGACTACAGATTTAGTGTGACTGTAATTTACGTAGTTTTAATTATTTTTGGGTTAAAAATTACCTATATTAAAAATGATAGGAATCGGTTCAGTAAACGATTCTGAACATACTACTTTCTCAAAGTGCATTAATTATGTTACATGTTGTATCTATAAAAAATTATATAAAAATAAACAGCCCATCGAGAGTCCACTGCTGAACTTGTGCTAGCTGCCACAGACGCACACTCCTTATTATTTCGTTTTAGTTCTTATAAGGAAGACACTGTTGTCCATCTCCTGATTTGTTTTTCTCTTTCTTACTTATCTTATACCGCCACTATACATTAGTATACTACACTAAACTACTGTAGTCAATGTTATTTAAAAATATGTAATTCAACTGTAACTACTGTAGATAAAAGATTATTAGGTAAAGAAGTAGTGTTTCATATTACCATTCGTCGGAGTAGAATAAAGTGAGTTTTACTTATTGAAGTAACTAGTGACCCACTCCGGCTTTTTTGAATATCGATAACAGTGCCACCTACCGTGTCCAATTGTGGACCTAAACCTAGCAGTGACCCACTGAAACGCTCACAAAAAATTCGTAAAAATCCGTTGCATAGTTTAAAAAATCTAAACGTACAGACGGCAGAAGCGACTTTGTTTTAAACTATGTAGAGATATGTACCATTTACTAGAAAAGACACTTTTGTGGCTGTTCAGGACACGTGAAAGTATGCACAGAGCATCTTTTTTATGGTACAGCCTGAGTAAGCGTGAAGCCGCGGGCACTAACGAATGTTTCAAACAACCAGGTCTCGTCGTCTCTTATAGTACGTAGTACCTGTTACTTCGATGATTTACTTGGTCGTAGGAGTTTTCCACTTAGGTATCGACTGGGTAGATAATAGCTACCTATTTATGTTGCCAAGCAGCTTGAATAGGTATAGCAATACTTGCCATAATTGCCACGCTTGTGTTTATCAACTGCAGTTTTAAATTCTTTGTCGTTTTTAGGGGAAGACGCTGCTGCCCATCTCCTGATTTGTTTCCCTCTATTGCCTCTTACGATACCCACGGGAAAGTTTAATATTCTTTAAACCACTCAAAAGGGTAAAAAAAGGTTTTAATAAAAAGAAAAACTTCGACGTGTATCTTCTTCATTACAATGTAAAAATTTATCGCTACACATATGTTTTCCCATTCTAAGAAGGATTTGTCTTAATAACCACCCTTGGCAGTACCAGGCGTCTCGCAACTTTGATGCTGCTCCCTGACGCTAGTCTGGGCTTTTAACATCCATCTTAAACAATGTAATTATTTTGATTGGAAGCCATTAGAATTTTCTGATCTTTCCTATGAAGTCTACGGCACCTTCGGGAAGATATAGATGATCTTTTATGCCGCCTTCACACTCTACAGGTCTCACTTAATTTCCATCAGAATTATGTAGTCCAAAAGGCTTCTTTATTTTAAATGTAATAATATTTCACTTTGACTTCACAACTAAATTTTACCGTCGCTTACTATAAATTTTCTTTTATTTTCAAAAAACGTGACACTAGAATTTTCTCCTGTATCGTGGGGACAATTTACATACATAAATTTCTCAAGAACAAATATCCAGACGCGGAACAATTATTTGTAGGTCATACAAAAACTTGTTCCTTGCGGGATTCGAACCCGCGGCCGTTAGCGCTGCAACTCAATGCTAAGCCACTGCGCCATAGAGTCCTCATGGACATTATTATGCATGATACGATTCCGAAAATTCTTTAAGCGAGTCGTCTGAAAACTAAGTGTAATTTTCTCCCAGGAAAAATCCCCGTCACAACAGTCCAAAGACAAAACTGCGGACAAGATCTCGCCACCGCTGGATATAGGAAGAAGCAAGCCCATACCCGAGCATCATGAAGTAATCACGTCTTCCGCCATACAGAGAGGTATGACTTGATGAGCATCTCCAGTGGTCCTCTTTATCGACCTTCAAGACTAGAGCTAGATAAGGAGTTACTTTGTTGTTGTTTTTTTCTAAATTAAAGGTGACGAACGAGCACACAGTCTATCTGATGGTGAGTAGATGCTGTAGCCCACAAACATCTCCATCTATCCTTGATTAAGAATCAAAATGGCAGTGCGAAATTCCATCATAATTCTCTGAGGTTACAACGCATCTGTAGCCTTTTTTGGTAAAAGGTTGTAGGAGTCGATTGACTGCAGTCGCCACTTACCATCAGGTATATCGATAGTTCGTTTTTCACTTCAAATTTATACAGAAAAATATCTTAATAGTAATTAGGTATTGTCTCCTACTTAGGTGACTGTTTATCTGGACCCATCCTTTACCAATTTGGCCCGCCAAATAGCATTGCATCACGTATGACTTGAAGAGTAAGAGAGACAGTATTATAATAGTTTGTAAGGCATTTTATCTTCGTCTTCTGGGATGACAATGCTTCTGTGACTTTCTTTATTCGAAATTGATTGCAGGTTTTCTTGGGCTGGATTTCTAGCGCTCGGAACCCAGGCCCCGAAGATGATTCGCAAGTAGTCACACACACAGCAAAGGAGCCTGGGGTCGTAGGGAGATGCCTTCGGGTCGTGATAGTCAAGTTTTTTTAAATAAAAAAAGAGACATTTTAAAGGGTTCATTAAAGGGGTTACTTTAAAGTTTTAGACCGTAGACGTCCAGCATAACCTTTTTGTTGTATTATTAAGGTATTAATGAGGATTTCCCCAAAATAAAAAAAAGGTCTCCTTGGGCTGCAGTGGTTATTTACTATTTTTTTTAGGTTGACTGGAAGCTCGTTCGTCAGTTGAAGGCCGGTATTCAAAGAAAATCATGAGCTTAAACTCGAGACTTAACAATGTTAAAAATTGTGTTACGTAATATGACCTTGACTTAAGTCTTGACATGATAAGTTAGAGTTTACTCGAGATTGTTTGCGAAACTGGCCTAAGATTTAAAAAAAATTGGTTAGTGTAAAGAATTTAATTACCAATCAGACATTTTTTGTTTTAAAACTAAATTTGAGTTTTGAGTTCCATCACATTGTGATAGTGTTCTTGGATCGTATTCTATATGTGGTTATATTCGTGTAACTGATTCTGCCACATTTCTGTTACAGAAGACAATGGCCACGTTCCTCCATTGGTGAAACAGCAACGAGTGACGTCACAGGATAGCGTCGTAAGCATAGTCTATGTATTAATACGTAAAGGAAAAACTTTGTAACCCTTTTTAAACATATTGCCCGCACGGAGGAGTCTGAGATTCAGCACAGTTAAAGTTTGTATGGAGTGGGAGTGCAGAAAGCTAACATTTAGTATTTAAATACGTGTTACATATTTAAAAATAAAACATTCATTGTTTACTTTGTTAATACTGTCAATGTCAAGCAAATGTCAAACACATTATTGGCCAATTACTCGCATAGAGCAGAGATTGTCGCCAAAGAGTATATAGTCAGATTTAACTGTTCCAAAAAAATTATAATGCTGCCAACGAATAATTGACTAAAAGGGTTGTGAAATTTGTGTGATTTCAAATATTCCTTTTCAGTACTCGGTAGAGTGTATATGAAGGCGTTAACTTTATTTTTTGTATGTTAGATATCTATGTTTTAATGTGCAGTTGAAAGTGTAACTGCTTTCTTAATATACAAACTTAAAAATTTAATGAATGAATTACGGTCGAATTTAGACCACTAGGGGACTACTTGTTTATATTTTATGATGACTTATTGTTTATTACGTTACAGACAAATTGTTTTTTTATTCACAATTTTATATAGTTTTAAATTCTCAAGTTACTGGTTTAAAAATTTTAGTTGACTTATTTTCTACTAATTTTAGAGTTGTAGGATTGTTTATAATGTTAATATCCATAAAATTTTATATTATTTAAATAAGATCCACATAACAAAATAAAATTATGTGTCTTAAGTCATCGACATTTTCCACCACCGGGGCGGCGCCATGTGTAATATTTGACAGATGTCATATCGAAGAAGTTAATTACTTTCCCCTATCACTAATCTCCATACCCCTACACTAGGAAAGACACACCGCCGTTGATAATACAATACTGTTGCGAGATTGGGGTTGGACATCTGCCGAGTGAATTACCATTTATTACACCCTCGAGACCCTATAGGGTCTCTGATAATTCCAGATATTTTTGTGGACCTAACCTTCTACTGTGGAAACATTAGAATGTTCGAGTACATAACGGTCTCGACTGACTAGGTGTCGATAGTTCTAGAAAGCCCATGTAAATTACTAGAAGGATCTTGACTCTTCTAGTTCTGCTACTCGATACTAGAAGGCGCTAGTGGTAACTTGTGTCGCCTATACCAGGGAAGAATTGTGGCGCGAAACAATACGTATTTTGTCTGTAAACGGGGCACCCTCAGGTGAAATAGACTCTAACAGTATTTTTGAAGTGAAAACTTCTTTAGCGGCGTAGTACGCTTGTTTTGTAAGGGGTAATTGGTTTTTGTGAAAGATAAACTTTTTAATGTAATATAAATTGTCATGTTTGTGTACGATAGCGCAATAAATAAATATTGTATTCTACCATATAAATGATAGTACTTTTACACTTTAATTAAAGCCATTCGTGCAAAATTATTCCCTAACCATTCCAAAATATCAAAAATGCACAACGTTAATATTTAAGTTTTCACTTCTGCCAGCACTCCCGGAGTGCAACCCGTCGTTTTTTATTTTAGTTAATTAATCTTTAACATCTTTAATATTATGGATTCTTCAAAATCGATTCTATTATTTGACTTAATTATTTGTATTGAAGATCGAGTAAGATTATTGAAACGTGTGTGTCAACCGACGCAGGCGAAGGGCAGGGTGGGCAGTTGGCCTCCCGAGGTGAGGGCGGAGTCCCCGGAGCCCGAGTATGAGGAGGCGGCCGACTTGTCCACCAGCATCGCCAAGCTGCGGTGTTTGCTGCAGCAGCGAGCAGAGACCGCACAGAACAGGTATAGCTTATAATATCTTAGTTTAGCATATGTTTTTTGTAGAATAAGAGAGACAAATGAGCACGCAGTCCACCTGATGGTTGGTGGATACTGTATTCCATAAACATCTACTTTTATCTTAAATTACAGTTTAAAATGCACATTCGCTGTCAACCCTGAGGTCTGAGGTGAAATGCCTCGTTTCCAGTAAAAAGAGGTATCCGGTTTTCTATACTCACCATACTAAACACAGCAGCATTATGCTGCTATTTCACGATTGTATTCTGTGAGAGCGTGGTAAGATCATTTTCTTGATCCTCGACGAGACGACTCAACGCATCTATCTTTTGATTCTTATTCGGGGATAAATGTAGATATGTATGGACCAAATCCACTTACCAACATGTGGACTGTATGCTCGTTTGTCACCTTTATTGTTTTTTTATAGGATAGGGTGACAAACGAGCACACAGTCCACCTGATGGTAAGTGGTTGCTGTGGCCCATAGACATCTACATCTGTCCTCGATTACGAGGTGCGTTCACCCGTGAGGCTAAGATGGAATGCCTGTTCTTCCATGAGATTAAGCTGTATTTGTGGTATTCTGTGTTTGTTCTAATGTCACTATTAGAAATAAAAGTTTTGATGTATTTATTATTAACTGTACGTAGGTCGGATGATATCTGGTGGGAGGGAGCGGAAGAGACCCGTGGTCGCACTCAGCACCACCATTCCTCCCGTCCTGTCGACACCGCTACACTTGCTGGTCAGTTTATCTTATATTCTTTTCAGCATACTTACATACTTAAATATAGAAGCTGTGAGCGAACACAAGAGTTAACATATATCTCGAAAAATGATTACCAATGGGGAATAAAGAGCTTGGAGTACCTTTGCTAGATGGAATGACGACCTGGTGAGTCATGCAAGAAGTCAATGGATGCAGGTGGCTCAGGACCGTGCTTTATGGCATTCCTTGCGGGAGGACTGTGTTCAGCAGTGGACTTGGTGAAGGGCCGTAATGAATTAATGAATCCAGGCGAAGCCGGTGCTAATCGCTACTAATTAATAAAATTGGAAGTGACAAAGCAGGAGGTTCATCCTAAACACGAGTATCTCAGATGAGCAAGAAGAATTTCTTAGAAATTCCGGATTTCTTCCTTACTATGTTTTCGCAACTGCTCACGTATTTTATTAAGTTTTTTCTAATTTGTATACTTCCAGATGAATACGATATGAACATCGAAAGGAGTGCATCACCCGAGCAAACGTCAAATAACATGCAGAGATTGGATAAGTAAGTGGATTCCTATTATGTGTAAAACAACAGTTTAAAGACATTATACACTATACAGTTTGGAGTCTTTGATGTCAGGCGATGCCGCCTCCCGCTTAGGTATTTACTATATACGACGTCGTCGCAAATATGCTAGGGTTTGTCTCGAAATTGGGAGTAAACTTTCTTTGATATTATTATGCTTCTTTATCAACATTGTGTACATGCTTATAAGTTAAAAACATTTAACGAACAGAACCATTTTTATAACTTCAAGAAAAATACATTAACAGGTGTTTGTGTTTTTTTTCTGTTTCGGAATTTTTCACTTTTTTTTCATAGATATTTTCAGTTTTCGATTGTTAAATTTAATTATGCAGTATACTCGTATTCGGATGAATAACTTTATCAAAAAAAAAATATGAGTGAAATATAAGCATGGCTGTCATTTAAATTTAACTTTACTTATTAACTCATATAATAGTAATTCACTATTCTAGATATTCGAAAACGACGCTTAAAATTTTGTTAAATAAGTACTGTACAATTTGCTCATTAACCGCAATTATTGTACAACAGGCTCAGTGGAGTGCGCTGGCACAACTACATTCGTTTCACAACTGTTAGACTCTCTTTAAACCGTAGTTAACCTATCTCAAATATTTTGACACAAATTTTAGTTTTCTGGGACTTTCCTCGATCAGAACAATTGGGCGTATGACAGCTAAGACGTCACTAAAACTAGGGAGGGGAATATCAAATCACCTGAACACTGATTGATACATCAATATATTTCGTAGGTACTTAGTACAAACTAGCGACTTGTATGTAATTATATTATTTTATTCGCTTACGGGAAACGTTTAAGGATTTTTTGTTTTGAATCGATCTTCTGGATCGTAATGGATCGTAACCTCGTGAATCGATTCACGATTTAATCATATTGCATTGAATCGATCTTATTCGATATCGGAAAATCGTATCGTTATTTTATATGAATAAAGAAAAGCACAGTGTGCATGCAAAATTATTTATTTTAACAATACCTATTATGGTATCTAGTGAGTTTTTCCGAATTATTATTTTTGAGAAGTATAAAACAGGTTTTACATCATAAATTCCAGCTATCTATATACTTTGGAAGTATTTAGTAAAAAGCTGTTATTTTGTCATTACAAACAGACACTTTTACATATAGACAATTTTATTTATTTGTATACACGACAGATACTTACGGTTTGGGCAAGCGCTGTAGTAGAACTTTCTTCACTTTTGCTTAGCTCTGAATAATTGTCTATGTGATGACGTCTGAAATGAATTCTTAATTGGTAGTATTTTTTTTATTAAATGTGACAGATGGAAATCCGTCACATTTAATAAAAAAAGTCCGAACGATTTGGTTGGCAATGCCATATTAAAAAGTATTTTAAAATAAAAGTTTACGCTCACGTAACAGCTCAACTTTTTGTATCGCAATAATATAAATAATGAAAGATCATAGAACATTAACATAGGCACCCGATAATAAAATAAAGAAAATATTACCATACCTACCTTCATATTTATTCCATACATTACCGCTTTTGATGTAACTCGAAGCTACGTTCATTCAATGGGAATCTTTAATTATTTGGTCCCCTCCCCGGTAATAGGATAGGTATGCAAGGTTCGGTTCGTATGTAGTTCATTACAGTTCGCTTGATGTTTAGGTTTTAGTTGATAAGATTTTTCATACGATCTTATAGGCATACGATTCGATCTGTGTGAAGATCACAATCCCTTGAATCGATTCTAAAATCGGTAGATCGTATGGCCGTGAATCGATCTTCCAGAAAATCAATTCAGATCGGGCATCACTGGTTTAAGGTTCCAACTAGGAAAAATAAAATTCTTAATTGGTTATATTTTTTTACTAAAATATACAAAAAAAATACAACGGGGTCTACTCGGACTGGTTTGGCATCCATAAAGGTGTCAGACAGGGCTGTGTAGCTTCCCCGTGGCTGTTCAACCTATTTATGGACAGCTGTTTGGAAAATTTTAAAGTTGAAGAATGCGGATTAAGAATGGGTGAGTTAACCATCAAATGCCTTTTGTACGCCGATGATCAAGTCATACTTGCGTCGTCGGCGGCCGAGTTGCAAATGATGGTTACATTAATGAACAGGTCATTAAAAGAAAGGGGAATGAAAGTGAACGCAAGTAAGACGAAAGTGATGGTTTTTGAAAGAGATGAAAGCAAAACGGTATGTGAAATAAGAATAGAAGGAGAGTTAATTGAGCAAGTGGATGAGTTCGTATATTTGGGATGTGTATTCAGCAGGGATGGGAGATATGATAAGGATATTGAATGACGAGTGAATGCAGGAAATAAAGTAAATGGGGCTCTACACTCTATTGTGAAAAGTCAGAATGTGTCAAAAAATGCACGTATGGCAATTCACAGTGTTGTATTAGTCCCTACTTTAACGTATGGTAGTGAAAGTTGGGTGTGGCAGAAGAAGCACGAGAGTAGAATAAATGCAGTAGAAATGCGGTCGCCAAGGAGTATGTTAGGGCTGAATCTGAGTGACAGGGTGAGAAACTGTGTGATAAAAGAAGAGTGTGGTTTGCAAGATGATGCGGTGACCAGGATTAAGAAAGGAATGCTTCGGTGGTTTGGTCATGTAGAAAGAATGAATGCGGAAAGACTGACAAAGCAAATATATGTTGCAGAAGTGAATGGAAGAGTCGGAAAGGGACGTCCTAGGCGGAAGTTTGTCGACCAAATTGGCGATATACTAAAAATGGGCCAAATTAAGAGTACCCTTAACCGACGAGCATGTATGCGTAGGTATATGGATGTGGAAGAGGCGAGAAAGGTATGTTAGGATCGTGCTAAATGGAAGTCTGTAGTCTCTGCCTACCCCTCTGGGTGACAGGCGTGAGTGTTTATGTATGTATACAAAAAATAATGAATATGAAATTGTTAATTGCACTTTTAAGTGCTGAGTTACTATGCGCTCGGCGTTGAAGGAAAACATCGTGAAAAAACCTACATTTATGAAAAATAAAAATATTTCAAAGACACATGAAGGCCGGCAACAAAATTCAGGCACTTTACAGCGCCAATGGACCCCATGGTCAGAGTTGCCGTTTTAGCGCATTTGGCGCTAGATCTGGTGCAATTCTATCTATATTTATATCTATATTTAAAAAAAGCGCTATAGGCCCTATAGCGCTTTTTTTTAAATATCTTTGTGCTAAAAATATCTAGTAGATTAGAATTGAACTAGATCTAGCGCGAAATGCGCTGAAACGGCAACTCTGAACATTGGCGCTGTAAAGTGCCTGAAATGTCGGGCATTAAAAAAGTTAAAATTAAACGCAATAAAATCCAGAAAATTAATTTTTTCCCATACATTTGAAAATATTTTATATATACACTTAAAAAATCCATTTGTTTACAATCGTACAGGTTGTTTCAAAGAACTGTGACTGGGGTGTTCAATTCGATAAAGACGGCGGTTGGAGCCGAAGACGAAGAAGTTGTACCTAGACCGATGCACGACTGGAACTATGTCTGCTCGTCTGCAGAGCTTAGTGTGAGTTTCTGTTGTTGATTATTTCGTATTGCAATATGATGTATTTTTTTTTAAAGAATAAGGGTGACAAACGAGCATACGGTCCATCTGATGGCAAGTGGATGCTGTAGTCCTCAGACATCTACATTTATCCTCAATTAAGAACTAAAATGCAGATGCGTTGTCACTTCTGAGGACTGAAATGAAGTACCTCGTTTCCGGTAAATAGGGTTATCTACACTCTCCATACGAAAAACAGCAGCATTAAGCTGCTATTTTACGCTGGTATTATGTGAGCGCGTGGTCCTACCCCTGTCGAGCCAACCCATTCGTCCTACAACCTTAATATAGCTGCAGCATATCACTACCACGTAAATTTATTACAATGGAAACAGTTTGTTGGCACTTAATAACATTTTATATATTAGAATTCGATTAGAAACGGATAAACTAACGATATTCCTTAAAATATAAGAATCAAAAAACGTTGAAAATGTGTAAAAAGGTAGCACTGAGGCATTGTTTCGTATAATACATACACTAAAAAAAGATAATTACATCATCACTTTTTAGTGATGACGACACTGTGTGACCAATTGCGTGACAAATTAGTTCACCTTAGTACCACTAGCGACATCTAGTGAGCGTAAGATTATTAGCATTTATTGTAAACTAAGGTTTGAAAAACAGGGGATTGAATTTTTTATCAAACAGTTAAGACGACATTCTAGTTGTTGCATTGAGTTTGTAACAATTCAACTAGATTTTAATCTACTCTTGAAGTCGGTGCTTAGGCATATGTGTATTGCAAAATTAAAGTTTCAAGTGCTATCGGGCGATCAGCTTGACCAGTTTAGCAAGTAAAGTTTACTCGAAGGTTTTGACAAGTAGGATGCAAGAGAAATCGGAAAGATTCTTATGGGAGGCACAATGCGGATTTAGACCTGGAAGAGGATGCACGGATCAAATGTTTTCTCTCCGCATGATCACGGAGAAGCTTCTGAGTGTTAACCAGAAGATTTTCTGTGCTTTTGTGGATCTGGAGAAAGCATTTGATAAGGTTATAAGAAAGAAAATGTGGGAACTGTTGCCGGGATATGGTGTGGATGGTCGATTGTTAAGGGCTGTGCAGTCACTTTACTATGACTGTAAAGCCTGTGTGCGGGTAGAGCATGACCTGTCACCCATGTTTAGCGTCCAAGCGGGCGTAAAACAGGGTTGTGTCATGTCTTCCTGGCTGTTCATACTGTATCTCGACAGCTGTTTACAGAAGCTGAAAAATAGCTGTTTGGGTGTGAAATTGGGTGACATAAAAGTTAATTGTCTGCTGTATGCTGATGATGCAGTGCTTATTGCACCATCAGAAGCAGAACTGCAGGCATTAGTCACGTGTATGAAAGAGGAATGTGAAATTAAAGGTCTCCGTTTGAATGCTAATAAAACTAAGGTTCTGGTATTTGAAAAGGACGAAGAGAGAACGAAATGTGAAATATGGGTAAATCAGGAATGTCTAGAAAAGGTAAATGAAATTGTATACTTGGGGAGTGCTTTCAGCCGGGATGGAAGATGTGATTTAGATGTGGACAGGCGTGTCGCTGCCGGAAACAAAGTCAATGGTGCCCTGAATGCATTAGTAAAAAGGCAAGGCGTGGTGAAGAGTGCACGCCTTGCAATACATAATGCAGTGTTGGTACCGACTTTGTTATATGGCAGCGAAACCTGGGTATGCCAGAAGAAGCATAAAAGCAAGTTGAATGCAGTGGAGATGCGATCTCTTCGTAAAATGTGTGGCGTTACCTTAGCCGACCGAAAGCGAAACGAAGAGATTCGCAATATGGCAGGATTGAAAGATGACCTTATCACAAAAATTGATAGGGGCGTACTCCAATGGTTTGGGCACGTTGAGCGAATGAGTGAAGACCGAATGGTGAAGAAAATATATAGAGCGAAAGTAAATATTAAAAGGTGTCGAGGTAGACCGAGACTAACTTTCGAAGACCATGTGAGCAAATTGCTCGAAGAGGGGAGGATCAAGAGTACTCGGATACCTAGACGTGCATGTATGAAGAAGTTAATGAACCTGAAAGAAGCGAAAGAGGTATGTAAGGATCGTGACACTTGGCGGTCTGTTCTCTCTGGCTACCCCGTTAGGGATTGTGCGTGAAGATAATTAAGTAAGTAATTAAAGTTTCGAAGCCTTGGAATTATGTGAACATTGGGTTATTCATTTTAGTTTTTAAATCTTTTTATATTTATTTAATATATAATTTAACAGTGATAAACGACCTTGTATTACCTTGTATTAGTGTTAACTATGAGGATTAAGAAGTTCAAATTTATACCAGCTGCTTGCAACCTACAAATTTGTGCACTACATTAAACATTACAACCGGTGCATTGCTACTTTTTGACTGAAATAGACATGAGTGTGGTACCAGTCCAGATGGACTCATGAATAAAAAAGAGCTACCTTGGTTGGATTGAGCTAGGAGTATTATGTAGTTCGAAAGGACTGTTTTTCTTTCTATTTTTAGCCTTATTAAGATATATTTATTTTTAAATGCTGAACCCTAAAATACACACACCGTGACAAAACGAAGTTTTGCGAGGTATCCGTATTTCCAGTCTGGTGAGTAGGAGGTAATTTTCAAAGAAGGTAGAAGAAGAAGTAATGGAGGCCATTACTTGAATGAAACACCAGTGCCAATCGCTAGCAGAGATAAGGGAATGAAATACACGACGATAGTAAAATATTTTAAATTGAAACCTTTGTTAATACATGTATTCGCATATAAAAAATTGATGATTGATTGATCGATCGATCGATTGAAAAAAAATGAAAAAGTACAAGTTTCATGATAACTTACGGTCAAGAAAATGTTTTTAGTAATAATTTTTTTGATTCCTCTTTTGCGTCATGGTGAGTAGTTAGACTTATTATTATTATTTTTTTGTCACAACTATTGAAAGTTCATGTCGGGCATAAAATTTATTTTTTGCTGACGTCACATAGTCTGTATTTTCGACATTAATATGATCAATCGAAAATTATCTATGTCAAGATCAGACAATTAGTTTAGCTGTTATGTGTAGCCGCAGAACGGACGTTCGTACTAGTCGAAAATATTATCATCTTTGGGCTCTTTGCCGCAGTACTAAACGGTAGTAGATTTAGTGGTTTGATAAAATGACATTTTACAAACGATATGTATTGTCTTACGTTGAAGAAATTAAGATTTAATTTTATTTCTACTCTTATCAACAATCCAAACAAATTGTCTAACAACAATTTTATCGACTAACTTGGTAAACTTGCAATACTTATTACGTGTTGATTGGAGAATAACACTATACTGGGGTTTTCATGGTGCTAAATTATAGATCTCGTTTGATAAATTATTAATTATTTAAATAAATGAACATAACTTCGCATTTTGTACGTATTAGAAGTAAATACAATACACCAAAATAAATGAAGTATGCATACCTATAACAACAATGCTCATCACGATGGGTGTAGGACAGCCTCTCTGTAATATCATATTTGCTGGTACTAGAAGAATAGGGTATTTTACATCCATTTTCAAATAGAATTTTAAATAAATCCTACAGTGATAATCAACCAATATAATTTTTATGTACATTTTTGAAAACCGAATAGTGCCATTAAAACTACTTTTAATCTGTCTATTTAAATTTTTGCGCGAAAACGCTAGCCGCTGCTGTTCAAATCGTGACGTCACTCTCGTCGTAAATGAAACAATTTTGCAAATTAATTCATTTGTGTGTTCTATCTGAATGCAAAAATACGAGCATAAGAATGCCGGGGAAGTTATGGATTCAAGTGCCAACTGATTTAAATATGATATAATTTCTCGTTAACTTTTTACAAAATCTATCATAAATACTTTTTGACATGGTGCAAAGTACACTATCAGTACTACGACGGACAGAATGACTTGTTGAATGATGTTAGCGAGCTGTCTGTGCAGTTCTTTATACTGTTTAAAAGAGTGGGGGAGCTTAAGTTTGTTAGTTATCTACCCTCACTCCTAACAATCCTTTAATTGTGATGACGATGATGACGAGGGTACTCCGGGTTTAACAATGACATCGGGACGTCAGTCATCTCAGTCCTCCGTGACCATGGGTGCTGGAAAGCGCCCGAAACGTCGGGAATTAAAAATAAAAGTAAATAAAAAGTAAAAATAAACGCGATAAAATCCGTAAAAGTAGTTTTAATCATGAGGGTGATGATGTTGAAGATTGTTTCTGTCAGGTGTGCAATGCAGTGGCGCGTCTAGTAAGCGCGAGGCGTGCGCTGGCGCACGTGGACTCAGCGCTGGATCCGCTGCAGGCGCACCCCCCGCCGCACAGCCACCCCCTGCCGCCCGCTGACTTCGGTACGTACTGGCGCTGCGTGCTTTGTCCGTGGTGTTGTCGAAGAGTGCACGAACGCGGCGCTCGACCACAATAAAGTATAAATTTTTTTTACTCCCTTAATCTCATAGTCCGATGGGACGGAAACCGACACGACCGAAGATAGATCAGACCAACATTTTTACGTGCTTTCCGAAGCGAATTCAATTTCAATTCCGAAGCAATTCAATCCACATGTTTAGCGTTGTCGTTATAGCCTATGAAAGTTCATTGCTCAACATAGTTGCCACGCTTGGCAAGCGGGTTGGCAACCACAGTTTTTTGTTTTTAGTCATCATTAGGAACACGCTGCTGTCCTCTCTCCACCTCCTCCTGATTTGTTTCCCTCTGCTGCCTCTGACGACACCCACGGTATGACATGGGGTAAATATTCTTACACTATTATATTACATTATTATCTTACCATTATTATATTGTGGTGTGCACAGATGAGTGGTGCAGTGGTTGCGGAGCGGCGTGGTGCGGATCGTGCGCATTGGCTGGCGCTCTTGGACTCTGCACCTCTCACGTGGCCTTCCGTGTCGCCACGCTGCTGTTTGCGGGTAGGTTAAAATTTCGCTCGCCATAAAATTTCTCGTGTCGCAGTTCATTTTCGAGAGATATTGTGGGTTAAATGGTGAAATGAAAGATGGCTAACAACAAACAATAACTTATGGAAAAAAGGGGAACACAAAAACAATGTATATAAAACAAAATATCATCCATATTTGTAACAATTAAGTTTAATTGTTGAAAAAATAAACCATGAAATGACAAAAATTAACCAAATCAAGAAAAAAAAATACAGGATAGAAACGTTTTTGCACTTAACATCTTATTCATTTTTTTCATAAATGATTTGGAAAAGATAAAATGTGGGCTATAATCAGTACTTAGTGTTGCCCCCTCTAGCTCTTCGAACTGCTTTCAGTCTTCTTCATACTTATAATTAAGTTATCAATAAAATCTTTGCGTTCCATTCTTCCTGTAATAAGTTTTACAAGCGTAAAAACTTGAAAATATACTTAATTTAGGGTACTTGTAGTTAGGGCCGCGGAGTTTCCACGGGTACTACACGACTAAAACGTGTTTCGTACCTACTAGAACCACTTAACTTGTTAATTACAATTTTTTGTGCTTGGGGGTGAGGAAAAAAGTCGATAGGATACTTGTGGGTCTAAGAAATAAAACATTTCTAGGACATGTAAAGACCGCCATACTATAAATAATAATAATATACGAATACTGCGTGCTTACAGTTCCATAACCCTCCTAATTTTTCGAAAGGGTCTGCGTACAGCATTCGGTTGTATTTAGGCCGTAATTTTAACTTAAAATAAATAACACCCTAATCGAAAGTCTTAGTTGTTCTTACACTTAGTTTGCCCTGACGCGATTTTCACAAAAAATATGTTTTAAACACTGTTTTCTGTCAATGTATCAAAAAGCGTTTGCATAGTCAAAGAACATGTTGTAGTGAAATATGTTTGACAGTTTATTGTACATTACATATTTAACAATATTATATCTTTATAACTACAGAAAAACAAAATGTTTGAAAACAAATTTTTAGAAATATTGTCATGATAACGCGCTTCCAAGCGATACCGTTTCCAAGGATAAGTTTGAATATCTGTTGAAAATTTTACACAGTTTTTGTGAGTGCGAACGCCACCATGAACAAAACATGTTGTGTGATGTATTTTATGCGTTTGTTTCAAAACATTCCGTGTTGGATGTTTCTCACTGCAAACGTACTGTTTGGGTGTTCTTTGTATTATTTAGGGTAAAGATGATTATGCAATAATCTCTGACAAAATTCTAGAGAACTTCCTGCTTAATTTGATTTGACCTATAGATGTTGCCCTACCAGTTGCGTATTTAATAAGGAAGTCGTGTTACGTGTTAAGATTACGTTATTGTAGAATTTTTTGCAGAAAATTGTAAGATTTATAATTTTCTGCATCGCTGTGTAGCGATTTATATAAGAACCTCTGGCAGTGGTATTCTCCACCTACATTATGTTTGGGCAAGATAAAAACCTCTAGTAATGCAATATATTGCCATATTCGGTAACTGAAGCGAGTGATTTATTGATTCCTAGTTTAGAAGGCTCTAGATATTGGACAGGCACCTTGATATTTAAAATTGGTCCTTCGAGCCGAGTCTTTGAAGTCGAGTTTACGACAGGATCAATTTAGTGCAGTGGTGGGGTACCCGCTTTACACGAAATTTTTCTAGATTTTTCCAAGTGCATTCTATAATTTTGTCGCTTATTTTGTTGCCGCGTTAAGAAAACATCGTCAAAATTTAAAGTTAGAAATTGAAAATAACTTCTTTCAGATTTAGCGGAGTCACTCCTAACAGCATGGCTTGACGAGTTTAGCGCTTGGCTCCGAAAGCAGACCTTCGCACTGTTCGAGCAATTGTCCAATGAGAACTCGACATTGAGCCTAAAGAAGGAGAAGATGTGGGAACTGAACATAGAGGAAACTTGTGCCGCTGTTATTTCTATCATACCAGGTGAGGTTTTTTTATAGAACTAGGGATCTACCCCGGCGTCGTCTCAACAACGGCGCAACCTATCGAGTGCAATTGTGAATCTAAACCATCCAAGGACTCACTTACACACGGAATAAATTTCATCAATTTTGAGCCGTTTACGACTTTTATAAATGTGGATGTCTGTGGGCCACCGCCACTTATTGTTAGGTGAAAGATGGAAAACTATCCGGGGTAGATAGATGAACACGCGTTTCCAAGTATCCACACATATCATAACTTATACAGCATTCTGGATATTCCACAGTCCTCTAAAAAGGCAAAAAAAAAAAGAAACTATCAGAAGATGTATTATATCACATTATTTTTTATTAAATGTTTAATTTTCTTAACCTAGTTATAATAAAATTGGTTAATTAGTAAAGATTTTGTATCTTTTACAGAGGTTTATCTCTTCAGCGAAGATACTATAACGGGAGCTGTCAAATTGACAGTCTCCAGTTTCAGCCACAAGGAGGTGAACAGGGACGTGGTGTTCAGGACACTGGACCTTCTCGTATCTCAGTATAAGAAAGCTGCTGGATTGAGGAACCCATCCTTTGACGCTAACTGAGTGATAAGCCACACCTTACCCTTATTTAACCTATTAGACTCCAAAGATTCAATTGCATGGAGATATAACATTCCAAAGATAAAGAAGAAGATAAAGAAAAGCTTTAATTAAATATTAGTTGTTTTAATTTTAATAATTTATGTTGTTTTAAAATAAATAATGGATCCGAGACGTGTTCCTTTACTGTTGGCCGTAAGAAGAAGCTCAAGGTCGCTCAGCAAGCTATGGAGGGGGCTGTGCTTGGAATTTCTCTGCGTGATACTTAGAAAATATTAGCAGTAGAACCAGAGTAGCTGACATGCCCAACGGTTCAGTAAGCTGAAGTGGCAATTGGTCGGCCATATAGCTCCAAGAATAGACAACCGATGGGGAAAAAAGATTTTCGAGTGGCAGCCTCATACCGCGGTACACAAAGTGTAAGGCGGCCGTTTATTAGATTGACTATCTGGTAAAAGACACAGGCTGCCAATCAATACAAGTGGCTCAAACTGTGTTTGTGGCATTCCCTGGGGGAGGCCTTGGAAGATGGGTTAAGCTAAATATTTTTCACAAGCAGAATGGATTAAGCTTTAGTGTGGACTACCTGGTATTAAATAAAAACATTATATTTGAAATATAGATTACCAAACACTTGTATTAATAATATCCCTCTTTTGGATATTTATAATTATGTTATTAATTGTTTCTAAGTTTATCGATATGTAATATTATAAAATATATTTAAAATTAATATCTGACGATTGTGTATTTATTTTCATAGTACCCCCAGTTTACGCAAATCACACATAATTACCTTACGCGACTTTGTTACTCGAGTAGCCTATTAAGTTCATGAATATATCTGACCAGATACTGTTGCCCATTTCCTGTTCCGTTTCCCTCTAACACCTATTACGAGGCTTACGGGATGATATAGGGCAGTGAATCCTCTTCCAAGGCCCACAACATGGTAAACTTAGGTTGTATACAAATAAAAAAAATACTTATTTACCATTAACCATACGAAAATATTTATTTCTATTATTCTGTAATCCATTTCAAACGTACACTAAATAATATCACAGAGCGCGTTAAATAGACAAATAACTCTCGGTTTATTTGAAAGTTACAATAAATCGACCGTTTTACACTCGACACAGCTAACTTAAGTCTACATAGACACAAAATTGCTTGTCACATAAATAAAATCATAAAAAAGATTGAAGTAATGTTTTACGTACTGGAAGAGACGCCGTTGGTCCTTTGAAACACGCTTTACTAGCCCACGGGCTCAAATTTATTTAGTATGTACTGCGGTGCCTGTTATAGTACGTAGTACATATTACTTCAACGATAAAAAATATTGAGCATTCGTACGTGCATTTTTTCCATTCAAACGTTTAAATCAAAATAACATGTATTATTATAAAAAAATACCCGGCCGTTGCGTTCGGCTAAGCATTTTCAATTTGTAGTCACTTTTAATTCATTCAATATTAAAGATTTCAATTGTAATTTATATCTAAAGAAACTAATTTATACAAAATACACAAGAAATCAGTATGAAATATTTCTTTCAACAAATGTTCATTTAATTTATACTACACAATTTTTTTAAATGATTCTTTCCTCCAAAACTTTCGAGGGTAAAAATACAGTTTACAATGAGAAAGTGTCACGTGAACTCAAATTTATGTTATTTCATCTACCACACCGGAGTGAAAAACTATATTTTCTTTCATTTCCTTGGCATTGATGAGCAGGAACCCTAAGTTACATTGCTACAGCATTAAAGTTAAAATATCTCAAATCATAGAGCAGTCACAATATTGAGGTCCTCGTAGCTTTGGTGTCGTGAAATAGGGGGCGTAGTCTCCACGTCCTCCAGTTCAGTGCCCCGTGAGCGATTCGATCCCGCAAAGTTTAGGAACATCTGAGAAAATGAGAGATTTAAAATTAAGTATCATGTTTTTCTTAGTATAATTGAATAATGTCCTCCGCACATAGTTTCAGTCACGGCGGCTCGTCTCAACAAGGATTAGCCATCTGTGCAAGACAGCATTATAGTACGCAAACACTGATACACTCTATCTGGCAGATCATCAGATCAGCCGCAGGACGAATGGATTTACGTGCTTTCTGAGGCAAGGGGTGAAATACCGCAAAATTCCTGCTTCTTCCTTCGGGCTGCTACTGAAAATTTCTCGACAAAAAACCAAAGAGATTTAAATATTATACTAACTTAAATATCTCTGCAAAAAACCCAATAACTGATTTCGGTCCCAACCGGTATTATAAACCAGGGCCTCACACACATTTGACCAACGAGACAGTTATAAATATAAATAATAAACATAATAAAATACAGCCAACGGACATATAAAAATGTGTCAACATATTGAATGTCTTTCATACTAAAGTTTGAATATCCGGTTCGAAGGACCAAAAACATGTCCAGATCGTAAGCCTGGAATGATCCAAAAGTAGTGATAATGAATATTAATCATGGTAATTACAGTTAATTAGTTTTTCTACATAGTCTTATAACAAGTCAAAGTATGTAGTGTTTTTTTTTTCTAAACCCAGTCTTGACCCTGCTATAAAGCTTCAACAGCGTCCATCACTTCGCTATTGTCTGCAAATTTCTTGCCTCGAAGGTGTTTCTTGAACCGAGGAAATAGATAAAAGTCACTGCGAGCTAGAACTAGCGAATAGGGCGGGTGTCCGAGCAGTTCAAATTCAGTTTTTTGAATGTCAGCCATCGCAACTGCGGCTTTGTGAGCCGGGGCGTTGTCTTGGTAAAACATCACTCCAGTGCAGTTTTTTGGGTCTTTTTTTCCTTAATAACCTCCCGCAATCATCTTATTTGGCCTGCGTAGTAAGAACTCAAAAAAGTGGCTCCTTTTTCTACATATTCCTCTATAATTATTACTTCAGCGTCCCAAACAACGGACACCATAACCTTTCCTTGAACTTGACACTTTGAATTTCTTTGTCGTCGGTGGGAAGGCTCGTTTCCAAATCATTGAGTGTTTTTTGGTTTCAGAATCAAACCGGTGGATCCAGGTCTCGTCTATGGTCATGAAACCTGACAAAAAATTCCTAATCTGCTTGGAACGTCTTGAGATTGACGGATGTTGACTCGTTTTTTCTTTTGCTCGTCGGTAAACATTCTCCGTATCCAACGCGCGGAGACCTTTTTTTTATGCAATTCGTTCGAAAGGATTCTTTGAATACTGCCATATGAGATTCATGTGACCTAGCTATATGGCTGATGGTCTTCGATCTGCCAATCTGACATCATCGACTTTTTTACGTTATCTTCTGTGAGAGATGTGGATGGGCGTCCTTCGCGATGTTCACTTAATTTTTTACTAGTATTAATTTTGGATGTAGATTGCGCAAACGTGAATATTTTATAGAAATCCACTCTGCAACTGTACTATGGCTTCAGTGAGATTAAGACGTTTTGATCGGAGAAGGACCATAGTTGCCAGAATATTAGCATAAACTAGTAGTATAATGCTGCTATGTATCGTATGGTGAGGTGTAGAGAACCTTTTGTTGGTAACGAGCCATTCCATCTTAGTCCTCAGGGGTGGCAACGCATCTGCATTTTGATTTTTAATCGAGAATAGATGTAAATGTCTATGGGCTACGGCATCCTCTAAACATCGGGTGGACTGTATGTACGTTTGTCACTATTATGTTTAAAGAAATCTGAAACTGACCTGATCGAGTGAGCTCTGATTGACAGTGAAGTCTTCAATATCACAGGAGCCCCGCAGTTCCGCTGTCAGACGGAACACGTCGCTCAGTTTTGTTGTTATCTCTTTGCCGTCAACTGGAAGCAGATTTTAATCATTTTAGTCATTCACAAATAAGAACAGCTTGGATATAATGGGGGAAAGGTCACGGGCTGACATGCCTGTTCTAATTTTTCTCGTGGAACGGATCGTAATCGGACAACACACGTACCACATTTAATCAGATTTTACTTTTCAGAGACGATACCTACTAAATAAGATTTGTTTTCTTCTCCAAGTTGTTCTACGTCAGGTTTACATTAAGTCATTACGTTATTCTCCTATATTATGTATGTAATGTCTAAAAATAATAATAAAAATGACGAAATCGTAAAGATGTTTCCCTTAATGTCTTTCCTAATCGCAAAGGTACAAAATATATACTTAGGTTGTAATATCTATTCTTAATTAATAAAAGACAATTTAAGAATTATTTTCGCGGATGTGACAGAAAACATCGTGATAAAGCCTTGCCTCTGAAAGGTGGCTTAAAACCATTTCTTTACTGAGTAAAATAGAAATAGAAAAAAGACGTGTGGCACTCGGGGACTGCCGCGATAAAGCTATTGCATAGCATTTTGTATCGACTTTGCAATTATAATTATTTTTTATTTATTTTATTTATGCAGTATTTCTTTTTCTTTGATATTAATTCAAGTTACACTTTTTGAGCGTGGTGACCGATAAGAAAACAAATTTTTTTCTTTTATTAAAGAAATAAAAAGTTAATTTTGTTTAAAATATTTTTATTATTTTACAATACATGTGGGTTTTATTATCTTACAGTAGCTGTTGGTTATTCAGGAATATTAATCAACACCGTGTCGAAGACTGCCGAAAAGAAACGACGTTAGACAATGCACGGCCTTCAAGCCACACCTCCGTGCCCGTCGCAGTGGGGAGCGTGAGGTTTTTTTTCGTTACGGAATTTCTGGATTCGGTTCCCGCGCTCAAAGCCCGCGATAGAAGCTATGCAATAGCTTAAAAACAAAACATATAGGAGCCAAGTAATAGCGATGGCAATGGGCTGATAATATATCTGGAAGAATTAAAAACCGATGAGGAAGAAAGTTTTGACTGTCTCATACCGCAGTGAGGATCTTTATATATTTATTTTATTCGGAACACTAACAGCTTTTATACATTTCAAGTTCAGCGAGCTATAGAAAGGGCTATGCTCGGGGTTCCTCTACGTAAAAACTTAGAAATGAAGAT